TATATATATATATATATATATATATATATTTTTTTTTTTTTTGTCTTTTGTCTTTTTTCCGTGTCCGGCAACGGATCGCAACCCTCAGTGTTGCCCCCGTACCGGACCCGGGACCGGCAACGGGATCGCAAGCCTCGGCGTTGCTCCCGCGCCTCGCTCAGCCAGTGAGCGGGAGCCGGTCTGTATGTGGGATCCGAACCCTCGGACGGGAGCGCCGCCGCGCTTCCCAAGCGGCACACTATCCAGTGCGCCACCGGGCCGGCCCTGCATTTATATTTTAAACTGACTTTTACTTGCTCAAGACAATTACTTCTTTTAGTCGTGAGCTGAGTTCTTTTTCTAGCTTTGGTCCTGGGTATTTGGGTTGTTTTGCATGGACATGTTTCTGCATTAACCTTGTTAGCAGGATTTCTCCTCAGAAATATTTTGTTTCTAAATAGACCTTGTTTAAAGAAAACCTTATGCAAAAATCTGGCCCAAATCCCTCTAATAGTTGTTGAATATCCAGCTAAGCGTCCTAATCACCCACTCAAAACAGCAGATATGTACTTAAACATACTTGGCCTGTGGAACATCTGGAGTCATGTGGGCTTTAAAGGCCCTGCTGTTGTGGTTAGTACCACCCGTGGGACAGGGGATAATAGAGGGATCCCCTCACCCGTCCCCTGTGTCAAACCTTTCCTTCAGAAAGATGCTCTCAACATTACCCAGGCACAGATGGGACGGTGTCCCACTGTGATTTTTGTAAAAGGCAAACTGAGGGGAAGTTAGAGCTACTGGCTCAGAGCCCCGTGCATACCTCTGTGACCTTGTAGTGTACCACTGATGCTTATATTCTAGGACTAAGCAGAATGAGCTAATGCCTGGAACTCTAATTCCAAATGCTGTTGTCTTACATTATAATTTCAGTAAAATAATCAGGACCCTGCTGCCCCATTTTGTAGGATCCTCTGCCAGGTTCTTAAATGCTTTATCATTCACCCACTTGACAGGTTGAGGCCATTCAGAGTGGGAGGAAGAATTTGCAAACACAACCTCGGAATGTTGTCTTTTTATCCATCGAATAGAATTCACAGTTGAAAGTCTCATGCCTTTAGTGTCCAGCTTCCTAAAAGAATTGTAACATACTCTTAATTTGTGTATTATATACATTCCTAAAAGGTCATACATAGGAATCATTGACTTATATTAAAATTTGAAAGATGTTGTCCTACTATTAAAAAAAATATTCATCAACCCACAATAAAAATATACTTTAGAATCCTAATTTTAGTTTCAAAGGACTATCCTGCTTTCATTGATGTTCAGTCTGCTAGCATTTAATTTGCTCATAAAACAGCTGTAAGCAGTTAGTCAAATGGACAGTCAAGCCACATGGTCTGGGATACTCATAAATTAAAATACATCACACAGTAAATTTCCATTACACAGGGAGTTCTTTCATTCTGTTGCTGCAGTAAAATTTTATATACTTTATCTTTTTATCTGAAAATAATAATTTAAAGAAGCATACGTGCCATTATTTATAATTCATTCAACAAAAATCTTAATCCTTTTTTTTGGAACAAGGCATGGTAAAAATTGCCATATGTATATTTAACAAAAATGTATTGAGTTCCTAAGTGTCATGTTAGGTATTTATCATATAGTGGTGAGTAGACTCAGTCCCTGTCACCAAGGAGTGTCAGGGATCTTCTTTTTTTTTGATGACATAATGTTTTTTTGATGACACTCAGGTACCCATGTTTCTATATATATCTTTTCCTTACATTTTTTCCCAATTAATGAGTATATAGATAACCTCTACCTCAGACTTCTTATTTAATCTAAAAATGGTCATATATTGGTGTTTCAGTTTCTAATGCATATTCCCAATATTTTTCTACCTCATTTTCCATTTTTCTGATATTGCTTTTGAAGCACATTTAGCAGATGAATTCTGCAGTTTTGAATTTCAACTTCATTTGCAAATGTTTACCTAGTTTGAATGTAAATTTTTGTATAGATGACTTTGGTGGCTATGCCATTACTTTGGCCCCCTAGCCAGGCATCCCCCATGTGGAAGAGACTCACATGTTTTTAAGTGACACAAGCAGTTCCAAATTTGCGCTTTATAAGTAAGGTATCATTACCCCCTTTAAATCAAGCTGGTCCTATCCGTTATCATCAGTCAATGTTTACTGAGCCCAGCTGACTAATTGATAACACAAAGTTTCTAAGAACTTATATCTGACCTGTTTTGCTGTGTTTACAAAGAGTTAAAGGCTTTATTTGAATAACTTTTGTGAGTTTAAATTATACAATACCATCGTAAGTAACACTTTGCCAAAGTCCACCTTCTCCCAATACTGGTGCATAAAGGAGACCTCTAAGACCTGAAAATGCTATCCTTCCTACCGTATCCATCCTAACCTGACACGTGTCTACTGCAGATTATAATGATTTCATGTCTTTGGTCAAACTTATATAGCAGAGTCACCAAATGTGCAAGCATGAAACATTGCTTTCTGACATTCCCCTATTCTATTGAACCAATGCAATGTTATTTCCAATATCAAACCCAGGGAAAGCAGTGAAGATAGGGAGGTGTCTTAGAAATTGCATACTGGTCTTCTGACCTCAGATACAATTTCAGCCTGTTAGGATTGCCCCATCCCTCCCCCACCATCTCAGTTTTCAATTCAAAACTTACTGCCAGCAATAAAAACACATTTTAAAATTGTTTAGCAATTTTCCTATGGCACTTTGCCTTGCCTAGAAAAGAGTCCTGCCCCATAGGAAAGTCTGGCCAGAAGAGAGATCGCTTCCCAAATACAGAACTCTAACCCCTTCTGACTAGAGCCAGGCATGCCAGGCGCAAAAACAGATTCTACCTTCTTCAGGCTAACTCTGCCTGGGCCCCTGTGAGATTAGGTGTGGTCAGGCATCCAGCAGCTGGCTTTGATCATGAAGAGCACTTCCCTGTGCTGAGTTGGAGTCTCCAAAGATTTCCTGGTGCCCATTTAACTTCTAGTCCATGTCTCTCCCTTGCAGGAATAAAAATTTTCTTCAAGATTTTTCTTACCTTCTCTCTTTGTTAATTCCTTTGCTTTACTGAAATTATTCTCACCATCGCACCCAGATCTGCAGACTGTGTGAGAGCAAGAGCACTTATCCATTCCTAAGACTTCCTAGACAAGTGTTCAGTAAAGACCACTTGCACAGATGGATCAAGTTTAAATAGAACCATTGCACAGCTTTTAGATTTGCATACCAGGACAAAGAGCTGAGGCTTCGTGACCACAGTTAACTGTGATGAGGCACAAAAAGAGGAAGTAAAGAGACCCATTAAAAGACAGAATAGCTGAGGAAAAAGGGACCGAGGAGAGAGAACCTTGAAAGTGTTTATGTCATGCTCTTTGTGATTTCCTACAGTGTCTGGTAGTGGGTTCATTTTGTTAGTCAACTGATAGTTAGCAAGTGCCTAATCTACTGTCACTGTAAGGCTCTAAAGGCAGAGACCATATCTTCGTGTTTCTGGTGCCTTATGCCTAGGAAGTGCTATATAAACCTGTGTTGAATTAATGAAAAACTGAGGTTGAGAATTCTTTTTTGAAAGGCCTTTCAGGGTCCTGAAGGAGTTTCCAGTGTATTGGGGAAGTGGGTATGCAAGTGCATCCGTGAAAAAAATGACAAAGCAGCCCCAAAACAGCGATAGGGCTGCAGATCCAACACATTTAATGGGGTAGGGGACTAAATAAGAAAAGAACCTGTGGTCAGTGGAATTGCTAGTTGTGAAGTCATTAGATCAATGATTCTCCAACCAGTGTGCGTCAGAATCAGCTGAAAGCTAAACACGTTGCTGTGCGCACCCTGGAGCTTCCACTCAGTAGGGCTGGGTGGGTGGGCACAACATGTGCATCTCTCACGCTGGTCTGTGTTCACTTTGAGAACCGTTGGCCTAGATAAATGTACCTAAACACATGTGAACATTGTGAATGGTGAAACAGAATGATTTTCAGGATTTTAAGTCATGGTTGAACTTCCTCTTTCAGTTTACCCTAAATAGTTATGTGACCTTAGGCAAATCAGGTTCTCTAGGCCTCTTTTATCTGTAAATAAGGAAGTTGGACTGGATGGTTTCTAAGGTTCTTTCCTTCCAACTCTAGAAGTTAGCATTGAATTAATTGGATGGGTCAGAGGTCTGCCATTTGCTTTCCCTGCCGATGCTCTTATGGTGGACGGGGCCCTCGATCTCGGAACCCATGGGCCTGGCCAGGTTTGCCCGATTCTTCTATCCTTTCTTCCTAATGTTTGTGGTGATGGATATTAATTTCTCTCCTTTTCCCCTCTGTTTTTGCTTCATCTTCAACACCTCTAGGAGGAAGAGCAAAAGCAGGCAGTAAGTGAACTTCAGAATTCCCTGTGGACTCTTCTTGCTCCTTTTGCATGTTCTTCTTTGCCTCATACAAAGGTTACATACTTTCTCCTCTCCCACCTGCTTAGCATCATCTCTGAAGAATTGGTTATGGGTACAAGCCTCAGTAGTTCTCTCCGTGGTGTTGTAAAATGGGATAAAAGTCCGAGTCATGTTTACCTAGTAGAGCATGTTCTTACTTGAAACCAGAGCTTGTTGAATTTTTTTTAAGTACACAGTTGTTGTGTTTATTTAAGTATGCATGATTAGCCGGGCCACCATTGCATTTTCCTGCTCTTTTGTTGTCTGTTGTTTTGTGTCTGGAGTGACTTTAATTGCTTGAAACATCTTTTGGGATGGTGGGGGTGACTTCATGTCATAAACAACTGTGCATGAAAATGAGTAGTTCTTTTGATAACTTTAGATGTCCTACAATCTTGAATAGGCTTCTGGGTGCTCCGGCTCCACTAGCCTTCTTAACAAAATTGATGATGACACCTAGGAGACTGACTGCACTGTAAGTGATTTCCTGTTCAGAGCCTACTCCAGAGAGAGCTCGGGTTTTTCTAAGTTGCGTGGCTGTTGCATATGTTTGGGGAAGGCTTATGTTTGTTTTTATTTTTCCTTATAGTCACTAACACACACAAGAAATCAGTTGAGGGCATATCCACAGTAGTAACACCATTGTTTATATTACACAGTAAGGTTTTCAAAGCATACATTTGTACACAAGCTAAAGCTGAATTTTTGTTGACCTCAGGGCTTTTCTTTTTCCAAGAGAGAAATATGAAATGCTTAATTCAAAAAATTTACCCATTTTTTTTAAAAAACACAAGTTTGTCCAAGTTTTAGAATAAGAATAGGACTATAAAACATTATACTTATTGTTTCCAGTTAGGAGAACAGTGGAATCATAGAGTAAAGGGGACAGGAAAGGAAAGGAAGAGATAGGTAGTACTGAGGGGAAGAGGTAAAAAGGGGGTGAGGAGGAGACAGATTGTCAGAAGGAGGAAAGGAACGTAGCATACGGCAGCAAGATAGACAACATCCCAGAATCGTCATGGCTTTAGTGTAACAAAAGCGAGTTTGGTTTGGTTTTTGCTTGGTTTGTTTTTGCTTTTTTTCCTCATTCACACAAAGTTTATTGCTTCGATCTTACGGCACTTCCGCATCAGTAGTTCCATTTACAGGGGCAAAGCCATAGAGGAACAGGATGGGAAATCAAGCCCAGCCATTAAATGTTTCTACCAGGAAGTGACACATATCACTTCCACTCCATTTCATTGACCAAAGCAAGTCAGACAACCACACTAACTTCAAGGGGGCTGGGAAGGCTAATCCTCGTGTTTGTTTGGAAGTAGCAGAGAAGCAGATGTTGGTAATGCCTGCCACAAGTAGGGGAATGCGTGAGACTGTATTACAGGGAAAGGAAATAGACCATTTATCCTCCCAGCTCCCTTCTCCACTCCTTTCCCTGCCAGTCTCCACTCGTTATTCCGTATACCCATCCTGCTGACCCAGGGCGTCACTGCACCTCTAGTTGCTGACCAGCAGCGTTCCCTTCCTTCTCTTCATCCCTCTCAACCCCAGAGCTGCACTCCACAGCTGTAACCACTTGCCGGGAATTTACTTCCAACAGTCTGCCAAGACTAGCGCCTCCTGATCTGTCTCTGAATGTGCCAGCTTAAAGTGAAACACGAGTTGGAAACACCCTACACTTTCCCTGAGAACTCTCTTTCTGAAGGTGGCAGACATTATGGATATTTAGTTTAACAGTAGCAGTAGAGCTTCCAGTAGACATTTCATTTTTTAAAATTTTATGGCTTACCATGTAATCCAAGAAATAGGAATTGTCACCACTGTGATATTTCTCAGGTCAATTTAAAGCTAACCTTCAGCAGACAGAGGATTAAATAACAACATGTTCGTTTCAGTGACCTTTCATTCTTTGTGAGATCATCATCCCCTTGAAGTTGGGAAAATGAGAAACTAGACTCTGAAGCCTGCCACTAATGAGCCTATTGTGTGTATGTCTTGGGAATTCTCCATGGCCAAGGTCTTGATCTCATGTCCGAGTTCACGGTCTCATAGGACTCTCCTTAGCATGAGTTGGTACAAATGGTTTTTTCCTCAGCTTTCCCCACCATGGTATGAGGTAAGAAATGCTGCTATGTTGATTTAGGTAGCAATATTCCTCTATCCACTTCACAGATTTAAACTAGACCCACCTAAGGTTCAGATCTGAGGCTTAAATTTGGACTGAATGACTTTACATAATTCAACAATGTTTTTAACATGTATAGCTGAAAAGACCATGAGGCTTTGGAAGTAGAGCTTCTGCTTTAATCAATATCATTACTGAGTGAAAGACAAAAAGATGGAGTATTTAACACAGAGCTAAAATATGAATCTTTCTTTCTTCCAGGTTCTGGCTGGAATGGTTTCATTTCTTCCCTGTCAAAATGTCTTGCCCTAAATGGGTAATAAAATAATGTAAAAGACTTTTTTTTTTTTTTTACCAGTAGGGGGATTGCAACCCTTGGCACGGTGTGGTCTGCACCACATGAGCGCACCGGCCATCCCTATATAGGATCCAAACCCACGGCCTCAGCGCTACCACCACTGCACTCTCCCGAGTGAGCCACGGGCTTTTTTCTTTTTTCCTTTTTTGTGACCAGTAAGGGGATTGCAACCCTTGGCTTGGTGTCACCTGCACCGCGCTCAGCCAGTGAGTGCACCGGCCATCCCTATATAGGATCCGAACCCGCAGCGGGAGTGCCACTGCGCTCCCAGCGCCTCACTCTCCCAAGTGAGCAACGGGGTCAGCCCCAGTAAAAGACTTTTTAAATGAAGAATTTACTTCCCCAAACTGGCTCTATAGATCTATTATGGAGAATTTTCATTTAGCCCATCTTCTTCTTTCTCCTTTGGGAATTTACTATTAGCTACTAGTAGGATCTCTTTCTACCCACAAAACACTTCCAACACCAAATATGTGGGTTTTTTACACCAAGCAAGTCTCCATTTCTCTGCAGACACCAACTGGGTGTCCTACAATTTAACTTAATTTGGACATTACCCAGAATTAGCATAGGTTATGGGCTTAGTCCTGCAAGACTGCCCCCACTTCATATACCAGTGACAAGGTTACCCACACTTATATCTGACTTGACTACAAATCGGGGGTTCCTACAATCCCCTTCTCAGATTTGATGATTAGCTATAATGGGTCACAGAACTCAGGGAAACACTTTACTTACGTTTATTTATTGGTTTATCATAAAATGAACAGCCAGATGAAGAGGTATATGGGTTGAGATCCAGAAGGGTCCCGAGCACAGGAGCTTCCGTCCCCATGGAGGTGGGGTGCACTACCCTCCCAGTACATGGATGTGTTCACCAACCTGGAAGTTCTCCAAACCCCTTTGTTTAGGGATTTATGGAGGTTCCATGACATAGGCATGATTGATTAAATTATTGGCCACTGGTGATTAACTCAGCCTCCAGCCTCTCCCCCCTCCCCAAAGATCTGATGGCAGGGGCTGAAACTTTCAACCCTCCAATCATGTCTGGATTTTTCTGGTGACCAGCCCCAGTCCTGAAGCTATCTAAGAGCCCTCAGCCACTAGCCATTCTTTAGTATATAAAAGATCCCTTTGTCACTCTGGAGATTCCAAAGGTTGTAGAAGCTCTTGTGCCAGGAACCTGGGACAGGACCAAACACATATTTGTTATATTACAGCATCACAGGATTATTTGGGCTGCTGGAGAACTTGAGAGAAATGGGTAATAACTGTTATTTTAAAATCTTTCTGCCTTCAGCTACAGCCACTTTTCCGGTGCTTTGAGTGTCATTAGGACCTCAACTGGCAATTCTTCTGTCTTTCTTCCCTCCTTCCCTCCTTCCCTCCTCTTTTCTCAAATCTAAGCGTTATAATTAAGGGCAGAACTGCCTGGCCGTTTAGATAAGACTTCATTGAGTGACTGTTCAACCCACGATTTACCCTGAAGTTTAACAGGCTCAGGAATTAGATGGTTGAGTCAGGGTTAATCAGGCCCATGATCATCCTCAGACTGTAGTTAAAGGACCTTGTCTGCCTTTTTCACTATTGTATCCCCAGCCTTTAGCCCAGCCTGCCACACGGTAGATACTCAATAAATATTTTCCAAATGAAAACCAGTATTAACCAAATTTATAAGATTTTGACTTACAGACTATATGAATTAATAATTGTATTAGTTGTAAGGGATATAGCTGGTTTAAGTACCTATGTATAGCAGTGATTTTGTTCAAGGTACTCCCATATAATAGGTAGATCCACTCAGGAGACTAAATTGTGGTTCAGAATATCCTCTAAATATCCTTTAGATAATCAGAAAAACAAATTTCAGTGTTACCAAAAGAATAGGAACACCAAGCTAATGTATTAGTATTATCATTAGCTCATCATTATTTCTGTCTAAAGAACAGATATTGATTACAGAGAATAAAATCACTCTTTTTTTTAACATCACTAATCTATAAAATGTAGACTATCTATAGTTATTTGTATTATTTGAATATATTGTAGGCATTGCTTAGTAAAAACCCAGTGCCTACAGTCAGAAATCTGGCTGTAGAATTGAACAGCATGTTACAAAGGGACATTTTAGGGTTACAACAGACTGATTAGGTCCCTAACAGCAATGGTGTTTTTATGACCGTAGGTGCACTTAAGCTGCGGGCTACTTGAGTCTAGACTGAAGATTCTCTCAGTCCTAGTCTGGAAGGACTTAAGATGTACGAATTTGTTCTAGGAACAGCTCAGGGTTCCATTTCTCCAATGACTCAATACACCATAAAATTTCACTGCTAGATCTCTAACACCAAATAAAATGAGCAGTCCAAGGCAGGGGGTTCAGTTTATTCACGAACGGTATGTTTCCTTTAACATTTCTCTCATCCCTCATATTATCACTGCCTTTTATATGCTGACCAACATCAG